CACCGAAATTTTCTTCCACGACTAAAAATAACCTCGCCAAGGGGGGCAATTCGCTTCTTTACACTTTGAACTAGCTTACGGCGGGGGCCCGCCGCCGCCCAGTGACCCGGGTCAGGTCGGGTCGGGATGATCGCGCGATCGACTTGTGCCACGATAGCCGCTTTGCACCATCAATCTGTCTAACAGACCGACCCAATAGTCTTGTTTTGACTAATCTAGCTAGAGTAAATCAATCGTAAACACGGTCGTCTGATTACTTAGCTTGCTTTGTTCCGTAGCACCAGGGTAGATCTAGTACACATGTATAAACATTTGTGAAAGACTTTAAATCTTAGGCTAAGGAGGGTAGATTAAAATGGATCATCCAGAAAACCCCTAAAGGGAAAATAATATCATCTTACGCCAGGAAAAAAAAGAGGGGGGGGGGGTCTTTGACTCCTGTAAAAGTTAAAGTGTAAGGTGGGGAGGGGGGGGGGGGTTAACCAATGTAAGATTACACTTTTGTAAGGTGAAAAAAATTATCAACGAAAATGGCAATGTAACTGTTTTGTTAATAGCATAAAAAGAGAGTAACTCTACACTATTCACGTAGACTGAGAGTTCAGTTCGAGTGGTAAGCACTGCATTGTGGCGATACAGTGGACCTCGAGCGGCAAGCACGATATATGTCATCTCGCACTGGTAGATGTCTGGGCTACAGGACATTGACATGTAGATCTAGTCTAATTTTGTTTATACGGGTGCGGTTAAAGTGGTAAAATGACACCGTAAGTTTTTCTGGAAAAGTTCCGATATTTTTATAGCGTATTGAATTACGTGTATTATGTCACATGTATGTGTATGCATGTTTTTCATGAATACCATAATTAATAATTTAAAAGGAAAGTGTAACAAAAGTGTAAAGGCGGGAGCAAAAATTCCCAAACAAAGTGTAAGATTTTATTTGAACAGCCCCAAAACAACGCCGGCCACACCTGCCCAACGTCAGCGAGAGTTTAAGGACCTGACGCATGTGTCAGGGGCACAGAATTCTACACTTAGTGTAGAATTCTGTGGTCAGTGGACAAACTTTTTTTGTACTCCAAGCAATTTCTTTTTGGGGGTGGTAGACATTCACATGTAACTTTTGATTTTGATCTAACAAAACTCATATTGGTTACTTTTGATTGCAATGAGCGTAGCAACAATACAATGTATTCCAATAGTTCCGTGGCATTGTTTTAGCTATACATACGCCTTGCAACTTTTGCTACTTTTTCTTGCAACTTTTGCTACTTTTTCTTGCAACTTTTGCTATTTTCAAATGCAACTTTCTCTGAGGACAGGTTTGTAAAACAACTGGTTTATTTAAAGTGTCTTCTCCGAAAAAAACCCCAAGAGGCCCCCCCCCCTCTCTAGAACACATCACGCCCACCATGAGAGAGCCAAGGATGACAAGTTGTTCCATAAAGAGGAATTTTTTGACAAACTTTCGAAGATATCCTCCTGTCTACATATTACAATCCAGAAAACGTCAGATTTGCGTCAAGTATACATAGAGAACTTTGCAGAGAGAGTGAAAGCCACATTGAGCTATCAAGTGTTCTGCCAAAAGTTCAAGAAAAACAATTTGGGTTCACTTTCAACCAAGAAAGACCAGTGCGACATTTGCACCAGCTTCGAATTAGGAAACCTCACAGAAACAGAATACACAGCTCATCAAATATGAATATAAGGAAAGCTGCAGCTAGGCAAGAGAAGGAGAAGGACAGGGAGGCGGCACTGGACCCAGAGAACAAAATGTGTGTCCTTTGTGTGGGGATCCAGTGCGCCCTTCTGGCCTCATCACTAAAGACATCCATCTTATACTATAAGACAAAACTGGCAATACACAATTTTACAATTTAGGATCTTGCCACCAGAGACGCCAGATGATATGTCTAGGATGAAAGTGAAGTTGGTCTGAGCTTCAACAGTTCTGACGCACTAACTGATATTGCAAGCGACTGGCTTCAACCACTTCATCATCTGCAGTGATTGGTGCAACTATTAAAACAGAATAGTGGTGAGTGCAATGGCCTCGCTGGCCAAAGAGCTTAACATCACAGTTGAGCAGAAATTATCACCAAGGGCCGTATCCAAATGTAGGTGGATTCAGTCCATGGCACTATTGAACGATGGCTCTAAAACGCACTGATGTACATCCCAATGGACTACGTGAACATCATGCTCCAAGCCAGACGCATCCCCAAGCCCTTTGAAGTTGTGTACCTGGGCCACAGCTTTTTCAAAGATTTTGCAAAGGTCGGAGAGCCTTAAACAATCCGTCCAGGGAGAAAAGCAGGCGATCCTACTGTCACTGATTTGCAGGCATCAAAGTACACTCCATACTTTACAATTCAGTACAAGCTGAACTTTGATGATGGATGGCAGGCGCTGCAAGGACCAAGAAAGCTGAACACCCAATGTACGACGGTTACTGCTGGACCTCTCTGCAAAGACAGATTGAAGATAACTGCCAAACAGTATAAACACCTACAGGAGTAGAAGGCCGTCGTACCACGATCCTACCACAAATACCATGAAAATTTGCCCCAGTAAGACGTTTTGAAAGCGATCAAGTCAAATTCGATTATAGTAGAGTTTCAAAACAATGGTAACTTTTGTCGTATTGCCTTGTTGTAGCCATAGGACACAGAGTGAGACAGGCATGCTCTTCTATTGTCGAGAAAACTCAATAAAGTAGTAGTTGTCAAGCCACGCACCTTGAAGAAAGTTGGCGCATTCTTTGATACTTACAAAGTCTTTTTGTATAATAATAATAATAATATATTATTATGAAGCCAACTTCACTCAAACCATTGCTGAGGGAGCAGAGCTTCTGTGTGGCTTTCTGCTTTCTATTTTTTCTTAGTATTACTTTTTTCCAGGCATTTGAAAGGCCGCCCAGAGCCAATAGTACCGTGTCAGACACTGTCATAAGTTCTAAAGGCCTGCTGCTGCTGCTGCTGCTGCTGCTGCTGCTGCTGCTGCTGCTGCTGCTGCTGCTGCTGCTGCTGCTGCTGCTGCTGCTGCTGCTGCTGCTGCTGCTACTACTGTTGTTTTTGTTCTTGTTGTAGTTGTTGTTTTTGTTGTTATTGCTGTAGCTGCTCTCCCTTACCCTACCAACCGCCTGTTCTTCTACTTCAAATGTAATTAATATACCTATTGCTGAATTCTGCTTCTTCTACTTCTATTAAATGTTCCAATTTGTGACTGCTGTTTTTGCCAGAATTGACTCCGTAGCACTGAAATAACAGCAGCGGATAGTATGTTGGTAGCTGTGATATCGTCCTCCTCCTCTTCCTTCTTACTCCTCCTCCTTTCTCCTTATCCTCCTCCTCCTTTCCCTCCTCCTCCTTTATCCTTCTCCTCCTCCTCCTCCTTTCCCTCATCCTCCCCCTTCCCTCCTCCTTATCCTCCTCCCTTCTCCTTATCCTCCTCCCTTCTCCTTCTCCCATCTCCTCTTCCTTTCCCTCCTGCTCCCTTCTCCTTCTCCTCCTCCCCCTCCTTCTCCTCCTTCTCCTAATCCTCCTCCTCCTCCTCCTCCTTTCCCTCCTCCTCCCTTCTCCTCCTCCTCCCCCTTCCCTCCTCCTCCTCCTTTCCCTCCTCCTCCCTTCTCCTCCTCCTCCCCCCTTCCCTCCTCCTTATCCTCCTCCTTCTCCTTCTCCTTCTTCTTCTTCTTCTTCTACAAAAGATCACGACGATTGCAAGAACTGATCAAATATGTTACAGTCA